CTCCACAGAATCCTGCCCGGAAGTGCTCCGCTCACACCCACCCAGAACCCGCTTTTCCTGGGCCTGGGGTAGCGATGGTCCCGCAGGGCCCTGGCAGCGGGCTGCCTGGGTTCGAACCCCGCTCCGCCACCTCGGTCGGGGTACCCTGCGATGTGGTGACCACAGAGCCACTCCCCAGGGCAAGAGGCACACAGGCGACCAGCACGGTGCCCGGGCATCCTCAGTGCTGTGTGCTCCGGCCCCAGCCCCATGAATGTCCCTCTGTACTCCAGATCAGAACAACGATTAGCCGGCGATCCCTTTCCGGGTTTCATTATCACAGAATCCTTGGCACGAGTTCCACCTTCCGCCCTGGGAATAACCCTGGCTCGGACGTATTGTCCCGCCAGTTCGTTCCCCCTCCCCCAGAACCTCTGCTCAGTGAGGCCCACCTCTGGGGGGACGGGGAGGGGCTGGTGTGTGTGTGTGGGGGGGGATGTTTCTAGCAGTTTCCAGATAAGACCCGACACCCCCCACCCAAGTCCCAGCCGGGGGTGAGGCACGCCCCCAGCACAAGGTCAGCCTAACAGGGCCAAGTCCTTGGCCGGGACACCCTGCTTCTGGGAGGACCCAGATGCACTTTGAGAAGCTTGACGAAAGCTCCCGTTTGCCCCCAGAACAAGGCGCACATACAAACCCGCACGACAACTGGCAGGCCATTTTTGGAAGGTTCGCAGCCACCACCATTCCAGGCTCGTCCGACAACAGCCAGAGGCTGGGATGACCTAGTTGGCATCGCCCTAAGGCACATGTGTGCACCCGTGAGCCTCTCCTCTCTGCTTCCTGCCTCCCCCGGGGCTCTGGCGGGCCCTGTCAGGGATGGCCTCTCTGGGTTCTTTCTCCACCTTTTGTCAGCCTCTCTCTCAATCCTTCTCGCCAGCTCTTGGACCTCCCACAAACCCCTTGAGGCCTCCTGCCTAGGGGAACAGCAGCTAAGCGCTTGCAGTGCCCAGTGCCTCACACGGGTTTCCTTCATCTCGCCGAAAGCCCATTTTACAGATGACAAAACTGAGGACCGGAGGCTATGCTCCACCTGGTCCAGCCAGTGCGAGAGCTGGGATTCAGCTGGAACAATGGAATGTCAAAGGCCAACCAACCACGAGGTTATTCTAACCCCAACGCCCACCCACCTTCTGACCACTCCAGCCACTTCCTAGGACAGAGCTCTGTCCTGGGACAACGCTGATCCTGGAGACTTTGGTCCCAATTTGGCATCCATTCCATCCAGAACCTTGAATGTACCGCTCCCTCTGGGGCTATACGCCCACGGTTTGAGTCCATTCTCAATGCTCTTAACCAGGGGTCCTCAAACTACGGCCCACGGGCCACGTGCGGCCCGCCGAAAACATTTGTTTTTTTTACTTCAAAATAAGATACGTGCAGTGTGCATAGGAATTTGTTCATAGTTTTTTTTGTTAAACTATAGTCCGGCCCTCCAGTGGTTTGAGGGACAGTGAACTGGCCCCCTGTTTAAAAAGTTTGAGGACCCCTGCTCTTAACTGATTAAGATGATTCTAGAAAGTCCACGGCCCATCACAAACTCCCATTCTGTCCCCAAGTGTTTCTATCCATTCTGTACAACCAGCAATAACAGTGGTGATGGTCTAGACAACACCCAAGGTTCTAGGACAACAGGGGTTCTTCCTCGCCTTCACTGGGGAAACTAGGATGCTGATGCTCTACCCCGAAACCTCACTGGGTCTCTACCCAAAGGTTCTAGGACAACAGGGGTTCTTCCTCGCCTTCACCGGGGAAAGTAGGATGCTGAGCAGCCAGGATCCTAGAGCAGTGGTCGGCAAACTCATTAGTCAACAGAGCCAAATATCAACAGTACAACGATTGAAATTTCTTTTGAGAGCCAAATTTTTTAAACTTAAACTATATAGGTAGGTACATTGTTATCAACTTAATTAGGGTACTCCTAAGGCTTAGGAAGAG